TCTGAAAACGCAATCTGGTCTAATACAGAAAGCCATAGAACTGAAGAAAGAATTACAAATCGGTGACAAACCAAAAAGCCTCCTTCTATTCATGAACCCATTAGCAGACACTGATGAAGTGTGTTGCACCCAACTGCTCGACTTCTTCAGGAAATCAAACACCCCTCCAGACCAAATGCGCTCACTAGCCCTTGAGACAATCATTGTCAACTATCCTGGAGATCAATGGCTCCAAGTCTTCACTGATGGGTCATACGTAGAAAGCCAAGCAAACGTTGGTGCAGGTGTTTATTCTGAATTCTTCTCTTTCTACGCAGTAGCGGAAAACAACAGATCCGCATTCGAAGTAGAAATAGAGGCCATTAGGATAGCACTATGCCAATTATGTTGCCTAGATACGAAATTCACCAAAGCGGTGATACTTTGGGACTCACAGTCAGGAATAAACTCAATTGGAAGCAGAGAGCCACCCAAAACAGCTGAGATGAAGGAATTTAGAAAACTCTATGAGCTGCTGAGAGAGAAAAACAAAACAGTGGTCCTACAATGGATTCCTGGTCACTGTGGCATTAAAGGCAATGAGCTTGCTGACACACTTGCTAAGAAGGGGACAACGATTTTGCAATGCATGAACCGTCCGATGTTTTTCCACACAATGAAGACCTTAATCAGGAGGGAATTGCAGACCTCAAGGTGCAACGAACTTAAAGCTCGAAAGAAGGAGAAACCGTGGACATTAGCACTCTCCGACATAGCCGACTGTCCAAGAATTGAAGCCGTTACTGAGTTTAGACTACGTACCGGACACGACTGACTGGCATAACACCTTCACAGATTGGGAGTATACACTCAACCCACATGCCCTCTATGTAACCTACATGAGGAAATGGAGAAGACCCACCTGATTCGGTGTCCAGCCCTAAAGACAAAGACGGAAAGCCAGAGATACTGGGAAGCAAGAAGACAGCTAATGAACTGCTATTAATTAACTGCTATAAATGCACCCCCCAACCTTGGGGGAAGCTGAAGTCAAAGTTTAAGGACTAATGATAAATATCACAAAGCCTGCCACTTTAAATAAATAAATAAATAAATACTTGAATTAAATAAGTAAGACATTGATTTCACAATTTCAGGTTTGTTCAACACTTTGTAGTGCTTGGTAAATGGTAAGACCATGCAGTTCTTAATTTATTTTATTCCATTCACTATTATTTGCATCGATCTCATTTAGTAGTACTGAAGTTAACATCTTGGAAATTCAAAACTGTGCTAAAATTTGTTTGTAAATGGATATAAGGAGGTGTTTTCGCCATGATCATTTTGCAGGTAAGGATTTGTCATCAGTTGTACCACATCAATAAAAACCAGTGTTCAAGATTGCAGCATCGAGGGAGTGGAAGCAATTAATGTTTTAAGTTGAAGAAAGGAGGAAGAGGCGCTTGAATCTAGAGTGGGAATAAGTCAACAAATTTGATGGCTTCAGCAAGAATTGAAAAGCACAGGTGAACATTAATTGATAATAAGTTAGGTAATAAGAGGTCTTCAATTCATTCAGCAAAGACACGTCATAACACTTTCAAGTTCAATGTGGCAGCAGGGGTGAAATAAATAATAAATAAAAGAATAAATAATATCTTCAAGTTTGAGGAAGAAGCAAGAAGCGCTTGAAACGAAAGTAGGAAAAAGTCAACAAATTTGACGGTTTAAACAAGAATTGGAGAACTCAGGCGGTTTATAAGAAATAGAGCGAAAAGTAATCTTATTTACATGGATCCCACCAAATTCTCGCAGTCCTATTCTTCAACCATGCGCCGTTCACTTCAAATATCAAGTCGGATAGCGTCAATGGAAAGACCGTTAACCTAGGTAATATCAATTGCTACGCATCGATTGTTCAAGAATCTCATATCACAGTTGTCATTGCAAACCGTCGAAACCATGAACCGCTACGACTCATCATCTCTACTGTTCCTAATTAGTCACGTTTCCAAAGAGAGTCAACTCGATTTTGGTTCCACATGATATTTCCCACCACGTCGTACAGTGTCGATCAAAAGATCTATAGCTTAATAATGTTCGCAACTGAGCATTACTTTTTGCAACGAATCCATTGCAAATGTGCGTTATATCACACTTCCACTGCAGAGGTATTCACGTCAGTCAGAGGCATAAATTCATGGGCCTTAATTCAGATGTCAATAGATTTGAGATTTCGACAAATACAATCGCCACCGCCAACTCAGCAATTGCTCCCCCTTGCCCTAATTCAAATGACTTCACATAACGAAATTGGAAGTGCAAAGCGACANGCCATGATCATTTTGCAGGTAAGGATTTGTCATCAGTTGTACCACATCAATAAAAACCAGTGTTCAAGATTGCAGCATCGAGGGAGTGGAAGCAATTAATGTTTTAAGTTGAAGAAAGGAGGAAGAGGCGCTTGAATCTAGAGTGGGAATAAGTCAACAAATTTGATGGCTTCAGCAAGAATTGAAAAGCACAGGTGAACATTAATTGACAATAAGTTAGGTATAAGAGGTCTTCAATTCATTCAGCAAAGACATTGCACAAACTGCTCAAGTTCAATGTGGCAACAGTGGTGAAATAAATAATTAATAAATGAATAAATAACATCCTCAAGTTTGGGGAAGAGTCAAGAAGCGCTTGAAACGAAAGTAGGAGAAGTCAACAGATTCGATAGTTTAAACAAGAATTGGAGAACTCAGGCGGTTTACAAGAAATAGAGCGAAAAGTAATCTTATTCACATGGATCTCACCAAATTCTCGCAGTCCTATTCTTCAACAATGCGCCGATTACTTCACACATCAAGTCGGATAGCATCAATCGAAAGACCGTTAACCTAGGTAATATCAATTGCTACGCATCGATTGATCAAGAATCTCATATCACAGTTGTCATTGCAAACCGTCGAAACCATGAACCGCTTCGACTCATCATCTCTACTGTTCCTAATTAGTCACGTTTCCAAAGAGAGTCAACTCGATTTTGGTTCCACATGATATTTCCCACCACGTCGTACAGTGTCGATCAAAAGATCAATAGCAAAACAATGTTCTCAACTGAGTATTACTATGTGCAACGAATCCATTGCAAATGTGCGTTATATCACACTTCCACTGCAGAGGTATTCACGTCANTGAGATTTCGACAAATACAATCGCCACCGCCAACTCAGCAACTGATCCCCCTTGCCCTAATTCAAATGACTACACATGACGAAATTGGAAGTGCAAAGCGACAAATTGAGTCAATTTCATAGCATCAAGTCAACTTATTTGGCAACCGTTGACGAGTGCGATTTAAGTTAATTCTATAATCCAATTTGCTAAATAGACGAAATACTAGGCTTCACACAACACAAGACCATTTTACTATCAAAAAGGATTCTTTATCACTATGAAAGGAACTAGGAAAATTTGGGAATTGGAAACGCGGTTTGCTTGCAGAATACACTTAGCACAAAACACACTGTTAAGCAAAACCACACTTCCTCTCAATCTGTAGTAAGCATTTGTAGCAAGCATTGCATCAGCTCACAACCAACCCTTCACTCCAACTACAATCACCCTCCCCTCCCCTCCCCTCAATACCC